CCACTGCTGCGTCTGCCTTAGTTGCTGAGCTTGTCGACTTTGCTGCTGCGTGTCGTCTAGACTACGCCGCCAGTCTTGTTGCTGAGTCTGAGTCTGTCTGTCCTCCGTCCGTCGGGGGTGAGTGTGCTCTTGGCACGGACGTCCTTGAGGACAGGCAGGAGGACTTTGACTGTCTTGCGGCTGCTGTACCTCATCTCGTGGCCTGGCTGCTTGCCCCTGAGGGAGACCCGGATGCACTAGACATCCCGACCCCGCGCTCTTACACAGAGGCGATCACGAGTCCCTACTCCTTTCAATGGCAGACAGCCATGGAAGCAGAAATGGCATCCCGGAAGTCCACAGGCACTTACGTCGACGCAGTTCCCCCTCCTGGGGCGAACATAGTCGATGGCATGTGGATTTTCAAGGTGAAGCGGCCGCCGGGTTCTCCGCCTGTCTTCAAGGCTCGTTACGTTGCACGAGGCTTCAGTCAGCGGCAGGGAGTTGACTTCTTCCAGACCTTCTCCCCCACCCCGAAGATGACTACTCTTCGAGTGCTGCTGCACGTTGCCGCCCAGCGTGACTACGAGCTTCACTCTCTTGACTTCAGCATAGCGTTCTTGCAAGGCAGCCTACACGAGGAGATCTGGCTGCGCCGCCCTCCTGGCTTCACTGGGTCGTTCCCTCCTGGTACCCTGTGGAGCCTCCGGCGGCCAGTCTACGGTCTTCGCCAGGCGCCTCGTGAGTGGCACGACACACTGAGGACGACACTTGCGGCTCTTGGGTTTGCTTCTTCGACTGCTGACCCGTCGCTGTTTCTGCGCACCGACACTTCTCTGCCGCCGTTCTACATCCTCGTGTACGTCGACGACTTGGACTTTGCCACTGCTGACACTGAGGCACTCGCCCTTGTGAAGTCGGAGCTGCAGAAGAGACACACGTGCACAGACCTGGGTGAGCTGCGCAGCTACCTTGGCTTGCAGATCACCCGGGACAGAGCACGCCGCACCATTACCCTGACTCAGTCACACATGGTGCAGCAGCTCCTTCAGCGCTTCGGCTTCCAGTTCTCCTCGCCACAGTCCACTCCTCTGCCTACCGGTCACTCACTCTCAGCTCCACCTTCGGACGAGTCCGTAGAGTCGAGTGGCCCATACCCAGAGCTTGTGGGCTACCTCATGTACCTGATGACCTGCACTCGACCTGACCTTGCGTACCCTCTTAGCATCCTTGCTCGCTACGTTGCACCTGGGAGACACCGGCGAGAGCACTGGGAGGCTGCTAAGAGGGTGCTACGCTACTTGTGCAGTACATCAGGCATGGGGCTGGTGCTTGGAGGACTGGGTCCAGTTGTCCTCACTGGTCACTCAGACGCTTCTTGGGTTGACGACCTGGCTACACAGCGGTCGTCGCAGGGTTACACCTTCAGCCTTGGTTCCAGCTCAGTCTCTTGGCGGTCTACCTGCTCTTCCTCTGTTCTCAGCTCCAGTTGTGAGGCTGAGATCTACGCCACAGCCATGGCTGCACAGGAGCTACGCTGGCTCACCTACCTGCTGACTGACTTGGGAGAGCGGCCTCGTTCTCCTCCAGTTCTGTACGGTGACAACAAGGCAGCCCTCGCCTTGTGTCAGGAGCACATACTGGAGCACAGAACGAAGCACATCGCTTTGCGTTACTTCCTTGCTCGAGAGCTGCAGCAGCGTGGTCAGCTTCGTCTTGCTTACGTGGACACGCGGGCCAACACTGCTGATGTATTCACCAAGGCACTTCCGCCTAGTGATCATCAGCGGCACTGCACTGCTCTAGGCCTCGTGCCTACGTTCTCTCACTTGCTCACTGCTTGACCTTGCTTGTACTGTGATCTATATATCTATCCTTGCATATCTGCATTGTCAAAATAGTAGCACAATCCTTAACATAGTAACCTAGGGTTTAGCTAGGAGGCCTAGGTGTGAGGGGAGCTAGGCAAGAGACATGGCACAAAGAGGGTTTGCATTATGAAGTGACAAGTACAAATATGGCAATAACAATGGTGCACCACCAACAATGAAGCAATAGCTACACTACACCTGCAAATGATTATACGAAATATGTTAACATATTTTGTCACGCCCCCATAATTGTTTGCAGGAGTAAGTGTAAAACGCCCCCTTACGAGGTACACCTTGCAGAGTGCACCGGAAGTAGCATGCGGTGGAAGTAGTAGAGGCCAAGTGAAGAGGAGGCGGCTGATGCTGGAGATGGACTCACACCACCCCCTCAACCACCCCCCAACAGCAGCAACAGCAACAGCAGCAATGAGGAGAGAGAGGAGGAGGCATGGCGGCAGTTGCTGCAGTCAAGACACCCTCCTCCCCCCCTTCCTCCGCCCCCCCCTCCCCCCCCCCCCCCAAAAAATGCTGCACGCGCAGCAGGGAGAGGAAGGAGGCTGGCGCTGTAGGTGCAGCCTCCCCTTTTCACCCTCCCCTCCCCACCTCCCACCCCCCCCCACTGCTGCACGTGCAGCAGGGAGAGGGGGGAGAAGAGGGGGGGAAGCGGGGTAGGGGTTGCGCGGGGCAGCAGCGCGCATAGAGCGCGCAGGGCAGCAGGGCGCGCGGGGCAGGAACCGCCGCGCGCTCGGGGCGCACGACGGCAGGAACCGCCGCGCGCTCGGGGCGCACGACGGGCAGGTACCGCCGCGCGCACGGGGCGCACGACGGGCAGGTACCGCCGCGCGCACGAGGCGCACGACGGACAGGTACTGCCGCGCGCACGGGGCGCACGACGGGCTGGTACCGCCGCGCGCACGGGGCGCACGACGGGCAGGTACCGCCGCGCGCACGGGGCGCACGACGGGCAGGTACCGCCGCGCGCACGGGACGCACGACGGGGAGGTACCGCCGCGCGCACGACGGGCAGGTACCGCCGCGCGCCCATGACACGCGACGGGCAGCAAAGAGGCGCATTAGCTGAAGCTAACGGTGGGCCCAATGAGAAAGGCTCTAGGAAAGAGCCTGCTCTGATACCATGTCAAAATAGTAGCACAATCCTTAATATAGCAACCTAGGGTTTAGCTAGGAGGCTTAGGTGTGAGGGGAGCTAGGCAAGAGAGATGGCACAAAGAGGGTTTGCACTATGAAGTGACAAGTACAAATATGGCAATAACAATGGTGGACCACCAACAATGAAGCAATAGCTACACTACACCTGCAAATGATTATACGAAATATGTAAACATATTTTGACATGCATTTGCTAGGTTGTCACCACTGTACTGCCTGCTTTGTTCTATATACCTCTGCATGTGAACTGGCCTTGTGGCCCTTTGCTTGTGCTCGGAGTGTGTGGTGACGTTGTGATCCACCCTGAGCTCGCTTTACTTCTCTTGACTGGTCTTGTGACCCTTTGTTCTCCCCCACTTTGCCTATGGGGGTGTGTCAAACTATATATGTGTGTTAGTTCTGTGTAGGCTATAGTGGGGTAGCCCATATGGGGTACAGCCCAAAGTTAGGGTTAGGGTACATTCCGCTCTGGACACTGTCCCAATCGAAAGTGTCTGAATCGATTCCACCGCACTGCATCGTATTACACCGAATTACACCCTAGTTTCAAACATTGTCGAAATTTTCGCGTCTCTGGTTTAGTTCGGTTCGGAGCGGTACACTCGATTGGGACACTCAGTGCGATTGGGACAGTGTCCAGAGCGGAATGTACCCTTAGTACTTGTACCCACGTTTCATGCAATGCAACTCATTCCTGCTGTTAGATTCTGATAGGTTTCAGTCCAAGGGCATGGTTACCCATTGTGTGGCCTAGTTTCACAACAGCTGTGCTAAAAAGTTCAAACAATTCACATGCTCATGACAAAAGCCCCACCAGGAATACGTTCAACCCAAGGCACTTCAATTTCATAAATGGCATCCAACCCCCCCTCCCAAACCATCATGGGTCCCCCCTTATGAAGCACGCATAACATGCTCACCTTTTTTCTTTCAGAGCCATCGCATGCTTCAGTAGCACCAATGCACACATCAGCAGCCAATCCTTCGCCACCAGCAAGCCCAGACATGTATCCATCACCAGCAGCTACAGGAATGATCATCATTTGGTCTCCAATGATGCTGAAAATCCCTGTTCCACCTGATGCCATCACCCTCACCACATTCTCTTCATTAACCAAGAGACCCACCTTCCCTCCCTTTTCCCTCTCCCGCTCTAGCCCCTGGTCATCACTAGTCGATGGTTCAGGCCCACGCGTCAGCAAACGCCTCATCTCTGACTGCAAGTCCTCACCTTGGAGCACAAGCAAGTCTCGCCTCAAAGTCTCCTGCTTGTGCCTCAATGCTTCACACGCAGCAGCTGCCTGCAGCAACAGCTGCTTGTGACACCCCCCCGGCCCTTCCCCGCAATCAACTTCCACTGCATCACCATCAACAGCAGCATCTGCATGCCTACCTCCATCCATCGTGCCAGCTTCAAGCAAAGGATCAAAATCCTCCTCTTCCTCCTCCTCTTCCTCCTCATCAGCCTCTATCCATTGCAGTGTGTGCGGGTCAAACGATCCCATCTGGCGATTCCACCTGTACCGCATCCTCTCCCCTCCTCTTCCTCTTCCCCTTCCTCTTCCCCTCCCCCTTCCTCCCACTCCGCCATTTCCATGCAAGCCTTGTGCCTGTCGACCAATCAGGTGCCAGAGACCTTCCTCGCGGGCAAGCAGAGAGACAAGGCTGGGGCAGTGAAAGCAAGCAAGAAAAACAACTTGTCAGGCGTGGGAAGGAAATAAACAATAACAGTGCATAACACTCTCCAAGAAAAAAACACATGTGACGTTAATAAGCTGTGCGTTGTTGATTGCCCAATATCGCAACGGTCCCTGTGCACAGTCATCAACACATATCCTATCATTCCAACCTACACGCAGTGAAGATTTGACATTCACAACAACAGGAAAGTAAAGACAGAATAATGACACTCGTGAAACCATAACAGACTTCACCACCATGAGCATAACAGTTAGGGTTTAGGGTTAGGCTAGGCCTTACCCCGTCCACCTGCGTGGAGGAAGTTTCTGCCACTCTCCATGTGGCATGCCTGCTTCATCCACCTGAAAAACAAAAAAGAAAAAAAAAAAAAACATGGCTGCCTGGACATGCACGTTTTCATCACCATGACATCCGTGTCAACGTCCTATGAAGCAACTGACAAAATGACATCAAGCACATCAATGAACGACAATCATCACCAGCATAAGCATAGCAATGTCGCCATACCATCAGCACCCACCGCCAGTACGTGCACAAAGACATCTCCAGGTCTATCGGGATCTCCAAATACGACCTGAAAGGGTAGAAACCAGAGGGAGAGCTAAGAGAGCTAGTCTTGGATAGAGGGAGCAGAAACGAGAGGAGAGGGGATAGATTGCGTGAAAGTGCTCTAAATATGCAACAAAACAGCTGGCCAATCGAGCAGTGTCAAGTGGTGTCACGCAATGTTAGATTGTGTCACACATGGTTTGCACTGTCACGCAACATCAAGCAGCCTTAAGAACAGTTTCGCCATGCCAAGCAGTTTCACGCAATGTCATGCATGGTATGGGTACATGGCACAGGCAATGTCATGCATACATATGCGCATGGCACATACCTGTGGTGAGGTGCTGACGACGACAACGTGCGAATCAGACGCTGCTAGCTGGACGCCAAGGTGAGCACCAGACGGTAACTGGGGACCGGATGTGCATGCGCCAGTGACAGCGTCACGGATTATAAGATCATCTCCGAAAATGTACTGCTTGTGCTTCACTGCTACTGTCTTGATGCGGCAAGAGGCGCAGGAAGCTATCGTTTCACTTAACCGAAACCATCTGTTAAGAACTGGGAGAAATGAATGGCAAAGAACAGAAGGAAACAAAAAAATAGAGGCAAGGTGAGTAGGGAATGGGATGGGGAGCTGATGGGGGTTTTACAGGATTGCGGAGAGTGATGTGGAGAGTGGGTAGGGTAACCATGAGTAGTAATTGCTGCTACATGTGGTACTAGAGCAATGTGGAATGAAAACGACCTATCCACGAGCTGCTGGAAATGAGAACGACCTGCCCACGAGCTGTTGTGTGTCAAGATGGGACGGAAGAGACGAGCGCAGCAGAAGTCACTCGAGTCGAAACAAGTGCTGACGGAATGACGACAAACTCACTGGGTGAGAAGGCATAGAGTGAGTCCACACGAATTTGGCTGAACGGCTTGCCTCCGCGAAAGGTAGAGGAGAAAGAAGCGGTGGTGGCGGAAGGGGGAGGGTGGTGATACACATTGACGTACACCCAGCTCTCCTTGCGTCCCAATTGTTCCCTTAGACTGCACATGCGGAAAGAGTACAGCAAAAGAAAATCAGCTATTTGGCCAAGTCAACGCTGAAATACTGCGTGACGCCAGGCAGTCGAGATGAAATTGGTTTTGCTTTTCCCTACAAACGCAGGAAAAAAAAGAACCTCACAACTTCGCGTGGCAGACGGCACTCAAGACACACCTGTTCTTACTTACCTGTACACGTGCTCGTCTTCCAGAGCTGCCTTCCAGCGACGACTGACGCACTTTAAGACGCCGTAGCACCCACGTGGCAGCATCGCCAAGCACATCAACGCAGCGTCGTCAGGAATTCCCGGAAGCAGAAAGGCAGCGTCCGAACCCATGGTCACACCTGCTTCTAATATATTTTATCGCAGAAGGTTCGTCCTCAACACGGACAGTATGAGACTTGAACACAGAAAATGCAGAGACGGCCACAAAGGTAGACTCGATAGATTCATTCACGTTGCAATGAAGGTCGTTCGAAACAATCTATGCTGCTGACAGGAACCAATCGCGGACTAAAGGTCTTCATTTTACCATCGCCAGCCACGCCGCATTGGCTCTGCCGAACTATCAAGAAGCGGCGCATGAGAGACCTTGCTCTGCTCGAGTTGGGAACAGCTTACAAATCCAGAGGAAATCTGCTGCAGATAGAAGGGGTGAAGAGAGTACCGCAATGAAGATCTGGAGCAGCAGCACGATCCCGTTGTATCCGTTCCATAATAGGTACAGTCGTACAACCTCGACCAAAGATACCACTTGACAAGGGTGGGACATCCTTGATGTTTACTTTTGTTCCTTTGAAATCATGAACACCTGGGTGTCTGAAAATTCCCACTTTGTGAACATAGCTCATCTGCTGATTTTCGTTGGGACCCTTTTTCCGCCCTATTTGCATACAGACTCTGATATGAAGGCTGCCTGCCCCACTGCAGCGTTCTAAGGGCGGTCCAAAGAGTACGTCCGAAAGGGGTTGAAAAAGGTTTGGACCTGATCCAGAACGGACTAATTAAAAATCCAGATGGTTAGGTAGGGTTTTCTGCGAATACGTACATTGTTGGACCCGCCCTAAATAACCCTACAACTCCTCGGTGTCAGTCCAAGGGTAGTTGGGCATGGTTGCGCATGGTAGGTAGGTAGAATGGGGGGGGGGGGGGGGGGGGGTATTTGGCGGAGCCTAAAAGGTGTTTTATACGTACAACAGCAGTGCTAAAAAGGATTAGAAAAATCATTCAGCGCAACAATAATACCGTATTCACATGCTCATGACAAAAGCCCCACCAGCCATATGTTCACCCCAAGGCACTTCAACTTCATGAACAGCATTCAAGACTCCCTCCCAGACCAACATGGACTTCCCCTTCTGAAGCAAACATATCATGCTCCCCTTCCTGGTACTTTCAGAAGTCCCACATGCATCAGCAGCACCAATACAAGCACCAGCATCCAGCCCTTCACTACCAGCAGACCCCGTCAAGTATCCGCCACCCGCATATACAGGAACTATCATCATCTGATCGCGAATGATCCTAAACATCCCCGTTCCACCCGACGCCAGCACCCTCACCACATTCTCTTCATTGATCAGAAGACCCACCTTCGCATTTTCCTTCCCTTCCTTTTTCTTCCCCGGCTCTCGACCACTGTCATCAATAGCCAAACGCCCAGGCGTCAACAAACGCCTCATCCCCACCTGCAAGTCCTTCCCTTGGCGAAAGAGCAAAAAATCCCTCAGACTGTCCCGGCTGCGCCTCAAAGCTTCACATGCAGCAGCTGCTTGCAGCAACAGCTTCTTGTGGCAACCCCCCGGCCCTTCGCCGCAATCAACTTCCCCAGGGCTACTCACACGAGTATAACCATCAAGAAAAGCAGCACGCATCTCGATTTCACGCAAAATATCATCATCCTCCCCGTCCTCCTCCTCCTCTTCCTCCTCCTCCTCCTCTGCCTCTATCCATTGCAATGTATACGGGTCGAATGATACAATGTGCCGATCCCACCTGTACCGCAACCACCCTCCTCCTCTCCCTCTTCCTCTTCGCCTTCCTCCACCCTGCAAGCCCTGGGCCTCTTGACCAATCAGGTGCCAGAGACCTCCCTCGTGAACAAGCAGAGAGATCATGCTGGGGCAGTGAAAACAAGAGAGGAAAGAACTTTTTAGCAAACAAGACCCAAAAAAAAAAAAAATCAGAGAGGAGTTTGTACCATAGGTTGTTATATGCCTTACACGCCAAGAACCTTGTGCTCATCTGCCAACTCCTAGCTTATCATCCCAGCCCGGTGAAATGTCTGAAACTTAAGTCTGGAGAAAACGCAGAGATAATTATGGGTTGGCGCGGCCTTACCCCATCCAACGGTGTGGAGGAAATCTCTTCCACTCTCCATGCGGCATGCCTGCTTCATCCACCTGAGAGTGAACGATCAAAAACGAGGGAGGGGGAAGAGGGAGGGGAGTAAGCATGAAGGGGACTGCTTGTTGCTCGTCATCATCATGACATCTGAGTCAACACCCTATCAAGCAGGAGATTCAAAGGTGCACCAACAGCTTGACTAATATTCACCATCACCAGTGCACGCATAACAATAACACCAACTGATCAAGACTTACCGCCAGGACATGCGCAACGACATCTCCAAGGTTATCCGAACCTCCAAAGATAACCTGCCAGTGCAACCAGGGTAAGAACCAAGGGATGGGAAGAAGAAAGGGGAAGGGGAGGAGAAGGGAAATGGGAAGGATGATGGAGAAAAGGGTGACGGAGAGAGGAACGGAATCTGTGTTCGGCTAAAATATATAAATAGATTAAGTGGTAGATATAGCAATATAAAATGTGCTGCCATGCAATGTCAACAGAAATGTCAGACACTATCAGGCTTGGCCAAGAAATGTTACAAAAGTTCAAGGCATACGTGGTATGGGCGCAGAGTACATACCTGTGGTGTTGTGCTGACAAGGACAACATGCGAATCAGAAGCTGCCAGGTGCATGTTAAGGTAGGCATCAGACGGCAACTGGGGTCCGGGTGCGCTGGCGCCAGTAACAACGTCACGGATCACAAGGTCATCTCCGAAAATATACTGCGTGTGCTTCACTGCTACTGTCTTGATGCGGCGAGAGGAGCGGGGAGATGTGCTTTGGCTTAACCGAAACCATCGATCAAGAACTGAAAGGAATAAATGGCGAAGGAAGCGATTAACGTAGTAGAATCATGTAAGCGATGTGGAAAGCGGGGGAAAATGGGTGAAAATAGTTGGTACATGTAGTGATTCAGAGCATTGTGTGATGAGAAAAGCTAAAAAATAAAGAGCTGCTCGGATCTGTTAAGCGCCAAGACGTGGACAGAAGACGAGCGCAGAATAAGTAACTTAAGTAATAACTTATTAAACGAATGCATGGGAAACGCTTAAAAACTCACTAGGCGAGAAGGCGTAGAGTGAGTCCACACGAATTTGGCTCGGCGGCTTGCCTCCTCGGAAAGAAGAGGCGCGGGAAGAGGAGGAGGAAGTGGTGGTGGCGGAAGGAAGAGGGTGGTGGTACACATTGACGTACACCCAGCTCTCCTTGCGTTGCAATTCTTCCCTGAAACTGCACATGCGAAAAGAATACAGAAAACACAACGTAAAGGCAAGTCAAATTTGTTGCGAGGCTGGCAAGCAGACGAGTTTAACCGGGTCAACACGATTTGTCTAGGATCTTCGGAAACAGAAGACTTACAGCATTGCATGATTGACGGCAATTATGTCACACCTGTTCCTACCTGTACAGGTGCTCGTCTTCTAGAGCTGCCTTCCACCGACGACTGACGCACTTTAAGACGCCGTAGTACCCACGTGGCAGCATCGCGAAGCACATCAACGCAGCGTCGTCAGGGATACCCGGAAGCAGAAACGCAGCGTCCGAAGCCATCACACCTGCTTCTATTTGGTCTAGATTCGGAAAGTCTTCGACGATAGTAGGGCCAATCTCTACAGTCACGTCGCAAGAGGAACCTATTCTGTATACAGTGTGATGTCAATCGTGAAATTGGCAGGCCTTCATAAGGTGCCGTTGGACGATATATTCTGTCAAGCTAATCAAGAAGCTGATCTGAAACTTCAGCGCAACGAGTGAGAGACCTGCTCCCTCACAAACCCGTAGATTACTGCCCACGAATTCATTTGGCAGCCACACTCGCTGCATAAAGAACGCGTGAGGTTCACGGCAATGGCGAGGAAGGGAGGTTGCAAACACGAACAGATTTAGTGCGTGAAGTACACCATTACCATAAACTTCACTAGATACGAAGACTCCACAATGTTGAAACAAAGCACCTCACCTCACTATGTTCTTGCCAGGGTATGAGATCCGTGAATTTTATTCACATGCATAAAAAATATATAGTATAATCCGAAAGATCACTGTGACACTTGTTCGGCTTTTTTTTTCCGTAGGGGTATTAACGTATATCTAGCTCTACCTTTGTCACTCGGTAATACGCGTAGTGTAGCCTACTGTTTCCGAATCGATGAATCAGTTACAAGGCATCACACTCATCATACCCTTTCCGCGCCGTCACATGGATTCGCGCAATGCCTCAGCGACACCGCCAGGCCAGTCACATCTATGCCTCGCACGGCACTCTGCACGTTTGGATGTTCCGAACCTAGGCTAACCAGCCGAAACCATGGCGCCCTGAAGCTCGGCAAAGCTGTGGTACAAACAGTAACGACGAGCCACTAGTCAACCAATAATACCGAGGTCTGGCGCCCAGAGTCGACCACAGAACCTCTCGAAACCGATACGCGTATGGGAACAGCCTGGGCTTCAGGCTCGGCAAGTCAGAGCCTGCTTCAGCTCAGGAATCGAGCTTCAAAGGAACGACCTTCCATGAGAGAGCGCGTGGAAGCTTTTGCAACGGAACTGGTGGGGCAGATGTCAAAACCAGCATTTGGAGGGCCATGCCATTCAGATGGTATGCCTGGTTCGAAATGCGAAATGCAGGAAGGGATATGAGAAAAGCGGGAGATTTTTCATAGCACAAGCACAATCAGCTACTGTACGAGTTTAGACACTCTGCACCAGGACTTGGTTTTTTCCAGGCGATGCAATCTCCCTTCGAGAACTTCAATTTTAGAAGCGTACTCCTCCGCATCTGCAATCCTGTAAGCCAATGAGGTTCCTCCACCCTCTTCTAGCTTTGCTCGCCGCTTGCATCGTGGCTGGCGTGGCGGCAACAGGAGGAGTTCCGGAACTCTTCCAGCCTCACTTAGAATCGCTGAATACGGAAAACTTGGCATCGCAGTTTTTCGCTGAGGTGTCTGTACACAATCCTCCCGCATATGCCGCCGCGAATGGCGCCGTCCTTGCCAACTTTGACGATACTCTTGCAGACGACGATAACTTAGCGGCTCGACTGACTGCTTACGGACTAACCGGTTTCGCGCATTTGTTAAGAGAGTCTGGCGTTTTAGAAGGCGTTCCTCAGTTAAACACTTTATCCCCGTTAACAGTCTTCGCGCCTTCTAACGATGCACTCCTCTCGCTCTCCCCAGCGGCGCTCGCGGGTCTACAGTCCTCCGATAACCGCGAGACGCTACGCAGAATACTCATGTTTCACTTCATCCCCGTTAGACTATCTCCGTTTGATTGGAATGGACGGGAGACAACCCTTTTGGGTACACCCGTGGAGCTGCACATGGGCTCGGATAGATTTTTCGTCGCCAATGTGAGTGTAACAAAAGCGAATGCGATTAAGATAAAGAATTGCGACGTCCATATAATTTCTAGCCTGCTTTTTCCGCCGCTGGGTGCGATCAGCAACCGAGGCGGGAATAGAGGCTCGGGAACCGAGCCTGAGGGAAGGTTGGGGGCGCCGATTCGCACGCGGCACGGCGTCCGGCGGGACTCGTTCCGAGATGCGATCTTGGAAGTTGGCCCCCAGGAGGTTCCCTTAGGTATCCTCTCACAACGCCTTTCTTCTACGGACGGTGCCTCGAGCGGTTCGAATGACCAGGGGAAGAGCAGAAGCTTAGATTCATCTGACGATGAAAGCGACATTTACGAAAGCCGTTACGAAGACTCTCAAAGCAACTACGAGAGCCGATACAGGGTGTGGTGGAATCACGAGAGCGCGGTCGACGGGGGAGCGGCGGACATGCGGCGCGCGGTGGAAGAGGACGCGGCGGACGTGGCTCCGCAGTGGGAGCAGGGGAGCGGGGGAGGCGGAGACGCGGGGGAAGGAGGCGGAGATGCAGCGCGGCGGTCGGCGCTGCTGGAGCAGATGCTGTCCGCCAATCTGCGCCTCTCCGCCTTCGCACAGGGCTCCGACCCCGCCCCTGAACCTCCCCCGGAACCGTCCGTTTCTCCCCCCAGTTCCCCCTCACCTTCGCCTTCTCTTCCGCCAGCTGCGCCAAACACGTCATCCCCGCCATCATCGTCCCGTGAGTGAGCTACGGCCGAGATTGTCGTTCCACGTGTCACTTGTGTGAGTCCACGTCATCATCGCATTCGTCAACACCCGACAGGTGCTCCTGCTTCGTTGAACATGTGTCCCCCAACCCAGTCAAGGTTGGTAGCAGCCGGAACTTATTTATCGCTATTCTTATGAAGCTTCGTTCATGCGTCCACATATCCACTCTGCGTATTCGATTTGTCACATGCGTTACAGCCACTTTGTCAACGGGAGCCATCGTTGGCATCGCTGTGGGCGGCATCGCCCTCCTCTGCGCCACCGTCGCGACCATCCTCGTTGTCTTCCTGTGCGCTCTCAAGAAACAGCGCAAAGGTAAACCTTCTAAATGTTTTGTATTCTCGTCATATGCCGCGCAAAATGGTACTGTAGCGTAGTTCTGAAACGTCTCAACCCTCGGTCTTGTACACTTGTACTCTTTATCTATTACCACTGTTAAAAACAATCCATAATTGAACTCACTCTTGCAGCTACCACTTCTAAGACCAGGAGTAAGTATGAGAAGCAGTTGCCTCCCCCTGTTTCATTTTGCCCTGTCTTCCCATCCAACCCTCTTTTCTTCTCCCCCTCCCTCCAGTTAATGTTCTTATTTCTGAGTCAAAAATAATCTCAATATTCCTAACCCTCTTCTCCTGCTTCCCCTCTCCGTCTGGTCAATCCTCTCCCCTTCCTCCCCACTCCCAGCAAAAGACGTCCCTCCGCCCATCACACCCAGCATCCCTTACTACGACCCTGAGGTAGCAGCAGCTGCTGCAGCCGCAGGAGCCATGGCCGCCGCAGGAGCAGGAGCAGCAGCAGCAGGAACAGGATCAGGAGCAGGGTCAGCAGCAGGATCAGCAGCCGGGTCGGGAAACAACATCCGGCCGATAATCGTGGGCGGGTCGTCAGGCACGCCCCTGGTGTGCCACCAGTACCCGTTTGAGCTGATCAGGCAGGTCACGGAGGACTTTTCCGAGACGCGCAGGATTGGCAGCGGCGGGTACTCGGATGTGTATCGCGCTGTTGACCCCATGGACCCCACAGTGCTGTGGGCGGTGAAGAGAGCGAAAGTGATCACGAACGACTTCAAGCGAGAGGTGAGAGAGAGAACACATTCAGAGACGCGCAGGATTGGTAGTGGCTGGTAGTCGGATGTGTACCGCGCCGTTGACCTCATGGACCCCACGGTGCTGTGGGCGGTGAAGCAGGCTCAAGTGATCACGAATGACTTCAAGCGAGAGGCGAGTGTCTGCTGACTAGCCGAATGTGCATGGCTGTGAATGAACCAACTGAGCCGTTTATCGGATGGATGGACCCCATGGTGCTGTGGGCGGTGAAGCAAGCGAAAGTGATCAGCATTGGTTTACAGTAGACTTGATAGACTCACTATTTCATAAGGGGTAACGATGGTTAGAGTGATTAAGAATGGGAGGAGGTCATGCTGTTGCGCGGATAAGCTTCATGTGTGTCTGCACTGCACTGCACTGCACTCCCATCCCCTCTCCCTCTTTCGCTTCAATTTCTTGCTGTTGCTAGATTAACGAGATGGCATCGAAGCACCATCCGAACCTGGTGCGGCTGCTGGGGTTCTGTCTGGACATGGATGTGGTGAACGAGCGCACCGAGCAGATCCTCATCTACGAGTACATGCTCAACGGGGACCTCGAGTCCTGGGTCGGCCCAGGTGTGCCCAAAAGACTGTATGCTGTGTGATGTGCATGTATGCCATGTGACTCTATGCTAATGTGACTGTATGCCATGTAACTCTGCTAATGTGTCTGTATGCTACGTGACTGTATGCCATGGGGACTGCATGCCATGGGATGGGACTGTATGCCACGTGACGTTATGCCATGTGCCTGTATGCTATGTGTTCTTACCACACGTAACTGTATGCTATGTGTTTTTACCACACGTAACTGTATGCTATGTGTTTTTACCACATGTAACTGTATGCTATGTGGCTGTACAACACGTAGCTGTATGCTGTTTGACTGTGTGAAATGTGACTGTACAGCATGCAACTGTATCCTATGTGACTGTACAACATGCAACTGTATGCTATGTGACTGTACAACATGTGACTGTACGAGTTCATGCTGCATAGGGACCTTGAAGCATAGGAAGGGGCAGGTTCGTTAGACTCATATTGCCTCTTGTGACTGAATGCCATGTGACTAAACGCCATGTTTCTGAGTGGCATGCGACTGTGTGCCATGTGATTCAATGTTATGTGATTGTTTGCAGAGTGACTGTATGACTCATTACCATATTTCATGTGATCCTACGCTGTGTGACAGTTTGCAATGTGAATACATCATGTGTCTGTGCCATTTGACCGTATGCTGCGTTTGTGACCATCCCATGGCTGTATGGCATGTCATTGTTGACCATGTGTCCATTGTGTGACTGTATGCTGTGTGCCTATGCCATGCTGTTTACGTCATATGACCACACAGTGATGAATGCCTTCATTCACATCACCCTCCTTCCCCCTTCCACACCTCTTTCCCTTTTCTCTTCCCTCCCTTGCCCCATGTGCCAGACGCAACCAGGTGCCAGACGCTGTCCCAGCAGTTCAAGGTGCTAATCAATGGGGCGTTCGGGCTGGAGTGCCGGCACAGCTATCACTCAACCTCAGTTCATTTTCCACATCCCCTGCTTCCCATCCGAAACCAGACGCGCCCAGGTTCCTGACGCTGTCGCAGCGGTTTGCGGTGCTGATAGGGGCGGCGCACGGGCTGGAGTATCTGCACAGCTTTGGCATCGTGCATCGCGACATCAAGCTGGCCAACATCCTGCTGGACCGCCACATGCACGCCAAGGTCGCCGACTTTGGCCTCGTGCGCATGGGCGAGGGCACCTCCGTCGGCACCACCCGCATCCTCGGCACTCCCGGCTATGTCGACCCTGCTTATTCCCGCACTCGCAGAGCGACAACGGCGACGGATGTCTACAGGTGATAAATAATTGCTAAATTACTGTAGTGTAGATTACATCAAGCAGTAGTGGATGGGTTTCATTTATACTCGACCATGCGTGCTCCTGTGTGTGTGTTCATGCCCATGGTTTTGCATGTCCCCCTTGCATGCCTGCAGCTTTGGCATTGTGATCCTGGAGGTCATTACTGGGCAGCGGGCAATGATGGGCAAGGGAGAACACCAAGTCAGCATCAAGGACTGGGTGAGTGCTGGATAGAAACAAACAGGTAAATTTCACCCCAATTCGCCTTCTTCCT